AGGATAGTATATGCTGGGACTTTACAACTCCTTTAACTGTATTTATTGCTAAAACATTTTCCTCTAATGCAAGCCTTTGGGTTGCAAGGTATTATGATCAGAAATCCTTGCCAATACATTTAGGATTAATTGTCAGTTGTAAAATGAAAAAAAGGAATTTCCACTAACTGAGAAAAGTTTATCAAGAGACACTATTAAAACCAATTCAGAAAAAAAAGTCAACCTTGTATAAGAACAAAGACACATCGTGATGTCCTTCCTGATCTTGTAAGCCTTCTTCCACCGGTGGATTGCACGTGAAGAGGTTTTCTCTTCACAGAGCAAGAGAACATGCCACACTTGACCACTTGAGATCTCTTTCTCTCTAAACAGACCTATACATTCCAAGCTCTGCAAAGTCATATGATTTTTATATCTATACATCTCCGATCACGATGTGTGAAGACTGTTTAGTTATGACAGGCTTTATTCTAACGAGTCAAAATTAATTAAATAGGGGTTAGTTAAGCAAAACAGACCTTCCATGTTGTTAAGCTTTATTCTTCAAAATGAATGTTATTTTGCTTGTTTTATGTAGAAAACCTTAAAAGTAGATGTAAACTGAAATCATTAAAGATCTCATATATGCTTTAACGCATTAACTGCTTTTAAGTAACCTCACAAGTAATTTTTAGCATTGTTAAATCTGTAGCTTTCAGTAAAATAATCCATGGTGATCCTTGCATAAAGATCCTTGTTCAAGCACTTCTTGTTAAAAGGTAGCAATGTCTCCCATTGGAGACTACTATCAGCTATGCTGAGGTACATTGCACAGACATGGTGCTCTACTGGCACTATCAGGAAAGAGAAATGACATGTGGCTACTGCTGGAGTACATCCATGTTGATAAGAAGGGCATACCTTCAGGGACATCCCTAGCCTTTTTGCTGAGGCTGGGGGTGAGGTGGGGTGGTGGGGGGCAGCGGTCAGCCAGTGGTGGTGATGCATGCTAACCAGTAGGGGGAGGGGGGGCAGAGTATGCCTCTGCATCATCTCTCCGCTCAGCTTTGGCTAGTGTCCCACCCAGCTCCTGTACAGTGACGTCAGTGAATGCCCAGAGCTAGTCCAGAACGCCAGCCAGACGGTCACACTCGGCTCCTGGCAACCAGTGTCATCACACACTGAGTGGAATGCCGGCCAGAGCATCCCAGGTTGCCAGGAGCTGGGCAAAGAGATGTGTATGGCTCTTACACATCTCCCCGTCTGGTTCTTAGCAACCTGAGACACTCTGGCCAGAAAGGGCGCAGCAGTCATACTGCAAACATTGTGCAGCCAAGCGGCCTGTATACATCAAACATTTTCCTCTGTGCATGTCCCTTAGTTGCAATGACTGTCCCTCATTTGGAAGGACTGTTTCTCACTTGGAAGGACTGTCCCCCATTTGGTAACAAATCACTCTGTTCTTTTTTCCTCTTCAATTGTTCACCTTCATGGCGGGCTGTGTAGATACCTATTAATAAAATGTAACGTTTACCTATCCAAAGCGTTATATTACACTAAAACTTTCATCCAAACTTTATATTATTGCACTTGTTATATTGAAAAGCCAGTGATAAGGAAAAGTAGTGATAAAAAAAAGGACTTTGGGGTTCAATTTTTGCATACCAATTCTTCATAATCAAAGTATCTGGGGGCATAGCAGGAGTATTTCCTTTGACTACCTCGTGCTATAAGGTGTCCCTCTTTCTCATCTAAAAAAGTTGGGTGCAACCAAGCTGCAGAAAAAAAAATCAACAGTGCTGAGATACAACAAAGGTTAAAAAAGGCAGAAAACAGTATTTTATAAAAAATTTAAAAAATCACTTAAAAGAGAACTATGGGGTAAGTGTTTTTCCCCATAGTTCTCTAAAGGGTCATGGAGGACATATACTAACCTCCTACCTTGACCCAAAGCTCAGTATATCGCAAGCTACAGCTCGTGGTATGCTGTCGAGATCCACCCAGCTGCGTGAGTGACAGCTGACTCTGCCTATCTAGAGGCAGAGCCAGCTGTACCCGCCCTCTCCCCGTCCGTTCCTCCAGTCAGTGCTGGAGGATCGGAGCGGGGAGGGGGGAATCCCTGCAGGGAGCCATGACTGACAGTCACGGCTCTCTGCAGGGAGGTGATCGGGAAGTGAGCGCATCGGCTGCATGTTTCTGCTCACTTCCCGCTCAATAGAGCGGACCTGTGACAACTTCTTTGTCACAGGTTGGCTCTAACTATGAGGATGAGTGGAAATCACTCACCTCATAGTTCTCCTTTAAATATAATATGCAACACTATAGCAAGTGAAACACAATTTTGCTTTATGTCTACTTTAAACAGTCTTGCTAATGCCGGTTAAGAATAACAAAAAGACTGGAGGACTTATCTTATCTGGTGAAAATGTGTCTCCAGGCTTACTCAGCCCTAGTCACATGACCAAAAGATCTTTGAAGAAAGAGAGAATTGGCTAATCTGAATACTGATAAGTACCTTCAGAAGAGATTACATGACCAGGTGCCAATACTAACGATTTTACACTACCTGACCTGGATTCCCAATACTAAAAGAAAACCAAATGTATGACAGAGCTGTGTTCTTGCTGTGCTGCTGGTGCAATAAAGGTAGAAGGTTGCATGGATCACAAGATTGGCTCAAAAGAATTACAAATACTGTATCTTAGCATGTATACGCTTACATATAGGCATTTCAACTGTGTATTTGGCTGTTTGCTTGGAATTCAGCTTCAAAACCCCCAACATTTCATTTAAAACATATCAGATTCCACCACCATTTGATAAATCTAGGTCATTTATTTTTCTTTTATTCTAGTACAAAGCCTATGTATGTATTGCTGTGTATTCATTACCTGCAAAGTTATAGACTTAAAATAAATCAAGACACTTCCAGTATTTTAATTTGATTCCGAGCATCAAAGTCCCTACCTTGAATACAAATTAATAAGTCAAAAAAATATATTATTTTTTCCTTTTCTTTTTTTTTTCCCAGCACAATGTTTTTACGCATCAAACATACTTTTACTTAATGTCTAGAGAGGAACTTGGCTTATTTAAAATTGTCTTGCACATAAAATGAAGCTTTTAGCTGGAAAACTACTTTGCAGCAGGTCAGTAAACCAATAACTGAAGTTTTGCGGGTTGAAAAAAGTTTTAAACCAGATGGAACTATCGCATTTTGCAGTAATCATGCTAGGTCCTGAAAAATAATGAATGGCTTTTGATTTAAACACGACACATGAAAATGTATCATTTCAATATTGAGGTTGTGATACAAATACAAATAGCAGCACTCCTCTGGCAAACACCAGCAGTTGCCCGTGTCATTCAGAAGTGGCTTAATGTAATGAAATGTTATTCATCCTATTGACGTTCAGATTGGAAAGACCAAAGTCATCTTAAGATGAAGCAAACCTGTCTTCTAGCTATTCAGCACTTACAAGATTAGCTCCGCAACATAAAACATTAAGACCAATCTAAAGGGTCACTTTGTCAGCTCAAAGTGAAGAAAACCCGTGGATTTGAACAGACCTTCACTGTTATACAGAGCTTTAAAGAGGACCTGTACTTTGGACCAGGTGCCCAAGGCAAGCAGAAGACAAAGGAATACTGTAGCCAGCCGTATTGTGTTAATTCTCAGATGGCAAGTTAATTGAAAGATAAAAGGGCTCAGGAGTCAAATTTGCTTCTTCACTCAGAAGGCTGTAGCTGGTTGTGGTAGTGACTAGCACTTCCTTAAGTTTCCTGAGTCTGCCATCTTCTCCAGAGAGCACCCTAAGCCCTGATGGAGAGTGTACTAAGCCCTGATGAAGAGGGTATTAAGCCCTGACAAGGAGGGTAGTAAGCCCTAACGAAGTGGGAATTGGGCAAACCTCCAAAATATGTTAGCTATTTTATGTGGCTGTTGCTAGTAGGGATGCACCGATACCGGTTTTTCCGGTATCAAGTACCGATATTTATCTTTTGGTATTCGCCAATATCGAGTACCGATACCGGTACTTCCGCTAGCATGAAGCTGACTTCCCGGCCAATCAGGAACCTTGGCAGAGTGTCATTACCAGCAGCCCAGCTTACTGATTGGCCGGGAAGCCGGCTTAATGCTGTTTGACCAGCTACATGCTGATTAGCTTGGAAGCCGGCTTCCCAGCTAATTGAACCAGCCAAACAGCATGGAGTTGGCTTCCCAGCCAATCAGGAAGCTAGGAGGCAGGTCAATATCCGCTGCCCAGCTTCCTGATTGTCTGGGAAACCGGCTCTGTGTTTCCTCGCGGCACTGCAGGTCACTCGCCCAAATACTTGGTATCGGCACTGATACCGATACTAGTATCAGTATCGGTGCATTCCTAGTTCTTAGGACCACCCAGGAAGATCTCGGATGTCATTGTTTGCTAGGATGCCAGCAAAGACCAAAGAGAAACGTGGTCCGAACACAGACCGAGCGTCGACCTGCGCCAACTTGCAGTGGATGCACCAGCCTTGGAGGCCAGTACATCCACTGTCAGCCAGCCATAACAGAGTGCAGGTCAGAGGGCTGGACAGCTGCAGACCAAGGGCCGGATATGGCCCCCGTGCTGTAAAATGCACAGGTCTGATTTAGACATCCAGCACCCATGGCTGTATGAATACCCCAACAATGACTGCATCTGATTAGTCTGACAATTTTCCACCCAGCTTGACTTTTGTGGAGCCGGGTGGTTCTAACAGGGTCAGCCAATGCTCAAATTTTGGCCGATTTAACAAAAATTGGCTGAATTTCGAGACATGTAGGGTTAGCTTTAGAGCCATAATACTATGACGATGTTTTGCCCAGGGTGTACTCTGTTGGGCTTTTAAGTCACTATCTAAGCACTGGATGAACCCTAACAGATTAAATTCAGCTAGATATAAAAACACTATTTATAAAGGACACCGTCACTTGGCCCCAGTTCCACATGGAAGTCACTCCACCAACTTGTGCTGTGTTTTAATAAATATGAATTCACCTTGCTGGGCAATCTTGCAGGTGGCACTTTTTCTGTCTTGTCATTGGCTGTGTGTCAGGATCACAGAAGGAAGCTTTAACCACGCCTCTTCCTTTGATCACACATCTGGCGATCTGGCGCTGAACACCTGTGAGGTGGAAACAAGAATATCTATAATTAACTGAATTATTCATTAGCAAGAGAACAGAATTAGGTCTCTGGGGAACCTTTTTTGTTCTAATCTGCAATTAAAATTCTAGCCATTTTTTTGTTTGTCCAGAATGCAATTCTATTTGTTCCAGCACTGGGGGATTTTCCAAGTTTTTTATTCCTTGTGTTACCACCAGGACAGAAAGTGAGCAAGTATCTACCACTATTACAGAGACATGAAAATTACTTATTTAGTTAAAATATCAGCCAAGTTCTTACATCTGTTTCCCCTTGGATACATTCACCTAACTTCCTGTGTGGTCAACAAGAGCAGGGGGTAATTTTCCCAGTGGGGGACACAAACAGGAAACACACCTGACAGACCTTTTAACACTCTTTCGAAAACTAGATAAAACAGTTTTATGTACAGTTCCACTCTACATCTCAAAAGGTTTTAATGCAGTACCCATGTCCTTACCAAGGCTATTTCCATCCTCGCTCTTCCCTCTAGCCAATTGTGCAGAAATCCCTTCCTATTGTACTTAAAGTATATGTCAAAGCAAAGAGTTGTTTTTGTGTGTTTTCAGTTTTGCATGGATAATGTTCTGGTGACAACTAAGATGGGAATTACCCTTAATTTCACCAAGAAAGGAAGTGAAGTGAAATTTCCCAGAAATAAAAATAAATAACCTAAAGGGAGTCTAGCACTTCCTAAAGTAATAAAAAAAGGGTTTGGCCATTTATAGCTTTTAATTGTTGGCGGCTTTGGGTTCTCTTCTGTTCTACTGTGGATCTGTATGTATTAAGCACTATGATTAGCTGCCTAAACAAAAGGCAACCAAACATTTAAGAGACAGGAAGCCCAGAGCTGCTATAACGTAGGGGTAAGAGTGCATATATTTGTGGGCAAATTTGTTTAGAAAGGAGAGAGAGTGGAAAATAGGCCAAGTTAGTAAGACACCACTTGTAGTGCCCCCTAGCAGGGGGTTACGCCAGTTCCCATGCCGGGAGCCTGTAAGTAAACATTTTGAGTGATGGTGGGTCAGAGACCCCAGAAGCCATCATTCCGCTTCAATGCGTTCTTCAGGTTCTACACCAGCGTTAGTCCAAGGGCCATGTCAGCAATCACTAGATGTCTCTCTCTTTCTGTACAGTAGTACCAGGCCCAGGGCCAGATTTACTCTCCCTGCTGCCCCAAGGCCAGGTTCCTCAATGCACCCCCCCCAACGGAGAATGGCAAAAGGATGGCGGGGGTGGAAGGGTAAGTTTACATTTTTTTTATCACTTTTATTTATTGATCTTATAATTATTATTTTTCTTATAATGATAGAGAGAGAGGGGAGAGAGAGAGGTGAGAGAGAGAGGTGAGGGTGAGAGTGGTGAGAGTGAGAGTGAGAGTGAGAGTGAGAGAGAGAGAGTTTTTTTTAACTTAGCTCCTGTGTGATGGCATTTGGAGGTGACAGGTTCTCTTTATTGAACCTGTCATCTCCAATACAGGAGTTCTAGTACAGCACTGTGCTGGAACTCCTGTGACAGCTGAGAGGATAAGGCAAGTCTTCCCCTCTCACTGTTTACATGGAGAGGCAGGGTTAGTTTTAACCCTGCCCCTCTGCTCCCCACTCTCCATCCTGAAGATATCCGGAGGCGGCCAGCGAGGAGAGATACTCGGCAGCGGGGGGAGGACGGAGCCAGCGAGGAGAGAGGTACATGGCGAGGGACGGGACGGGACGAACCTGCAGTCTCATTACAAGTGATCTTGGCGACATCGCCGAGATCACTCGGAAACAAACAAGCATATTCCCCGCTCTGCATCTAATCCTGCTTGCCCAAAGCAAGGGCTAAATGTAGAAAACTTACTGCATGTCCTGGGCGTCATGGGATTCCACACCGCTGATGCCCCTCTGCTCCCTGCTGCCCCGAGGCCGGGCCTTGTTGGCCTTGTGGCAAATCCGGCCCTAACCAGGACTATTCCACTATGTACAGTAGTACCAGTACAAGTGGACTAGGTAATGCTGCAGCAACATGCTGATGAAACCATGTCTCTGCTTCCTTGTATATATTTACACCTAACATCTAATTCACCTCAATCACTGCCCTTCCCACTACCAACACAAGGTTGAAATCAAGTCAAACTCGGGTATTTAAATTAGTTGCATTTAAAAATACATTTTTAATAACCACACAATACATTTTTATATCTTTGTGGATCCTTTCCCTATTTTATATACTGTATATTGCCAGATTTTTGTTTATACAACATTATTGCAGAATCGTACCTGCATCTTGTTGGCTATAACCAACTCTAACCCTCCACAACATTGTGTTACAAAAACTCATATCAACCTTTGGTATCAACAGACGTTCCAGTTCTATTGTAGCCAAAGCGCTTCTGACAGATATATACCTTTAAGGTTGCATTGTCCATGACTGACATCTGTTATCCATTGAACAACTTGCAACAATGTATCCATTTATCACAGCAATTGTTTTATTAAAACAAAAGGCCGGTGTAATGAAGTGTATCAGATCTGTAGCTATGGTGACCCAATCTCTTGGCATGCAGGGCATGGCAGGAGGTAATCACATGTTAGCGTATTCCAGAGGATTGGGCTCATTATTCAGGAAAACTGATGAAGATGGATGCTGAACTGTACCATTCATTACAGAGAGAAAATGGATGGAAGAAAAATATGAAGCATTTGACAGTTGCATTAATCAGGTACAAGGGTCACCGTTACTGATCTCCTCCCTGCAGAAAAAACATCCGTCATGTAGTAATATACATAGCGTATATCCTGCCAGGTATCCATAGGATAAAAGGCATGCATGAAATTAGGTGCATGTATAAAGTTTTATTATTTGGAGGTACATTCTACTTTGGATTATTCAGTTTTGGTCCCCATTCCACCTTCCTCCCCTCTCCAAGCTAGTAGATGGACAGCTGCAGGACACTGGCACGCCAAGCACTAAGGCAATGCAGCTCCAAAGCACATGCATTGCAGGGCACCACAATGTGCAGTAATACACTACTGTGTGTTCTGGTGCACTGCATTGTCAAAAATGTTTTTTTGTTTTGTGGTGCATTGCCAGCTCATTCACTTGAATAAGCTGCTTTACCAGAATGCACACAATGCACCTGGATACCAAGGTCTGAATGGGCCCTAAACATTTACTGACTGAATTTGCTTGATGGATAGTTGTGGAAGCTGTATAGACCAACGTTTCGTCACCTCTTTTCAGTTGCTGCACCCTTTAAAAGTATGCAGAATCTCATGGCAACCCAGTCTAAAATGTAAAAGACATAAATGTAAAAAAAAAAAATGTGTGGTCCCCTCAAAATCCATAACAGACCCTTATACTATATAGGGGCTGATATGGATTTTAAGGAGAGACCCTGTGCAATAAAAAAAATGGGGGTTTCCCCCTTTATGTCAGAGGCTCCCCCCATCAGATCAGAGTCCTCTTCATGGGCCTCCTTCACACAGGGTCCCCCTCATTGGCCCCTTCACAGCAGAGTGTGGCAGCATCACATAGGGCAGGAGCAGAGCAGGTCTGGACAGATTCAAACGTTGATCCTCTTCTCCCCTTCACACCAGAATCTCCCCTTCACATCAGGAGCCCCCTTTCATATCAGAGTCCTCACATTACATCAGGAACCCCCTTTCATATCAGAGTCCACACATTACACCAGGAGCCCCCTTTCTCATCAGAGTCCTTACTTCACATCAGGAGCCCCCTTTGACATCATAGTCCTCCTCATAGGTCTCCTTCTCACAGAGTTCACCTCACTGGCCCCTTCACAGCAGAGTGTGGCAGCATCACATAGGGCAGGAGCAGAGCAGGTCTGGATAGATTCAGACTTCCGTCCTCTTCTGCATGGATCCCTGCTGCCCACCCTGGATTAGCGTCATGGATTTCCATGGTGCTGGTGGTCGGCCCACTTGCACCATGGAAATGCATGACGATGTGTCAAGGAACACCCGAGGAAGACAAATGGCACTAGGGTTGCCACCTTTTCTTCAAGCGAAACCCGAACACTCTAGCGACGCGCGGACATTTTTTAGGGAGAATGGGTGGTGGCTTATTCATATATGAATAGTGCTGCCCATTCATATGTAAATATCCCACTTGAGACTATTTTCAGTGCGGGACCAGTAGTCCCTATCTTAATTTTGGTTGCCCCGTCTGCCTGACATCTTGTGTCCGGGTTTCTGCTGCCATGAAACCCGGACACAGCATTCAAAACCCGGACGGTCCGGGTGAATCCTGGACAGGTGGCAACCCTAAATGGCACCCCAGTTGAGAATGCTGGTTTTGAAAACATGTAAAAGCCGGATTTCTGCCTCCCTCAGAACTGAGTGAGTCTCAGTAATAGAAAGTGATCAATATGAGTCACCAGTAATCGAATTAATGGCCTGTAGGGTTTGCTTTAAACAAAACAAATGTTTCAATATTGATAGCATATAATAAACACATTCTTACCTAAAAGCAGCTGTAAAGATAAATTGATCAATGACATAGCAGAAAATCCTATTTGTAAGGAGTTTGCTCTTTATGAGTCCTTTGTGCCTCCTTGCTGTGGATGGCTGGAGCCACTTGCATGACCTACTCTCTGTCCATATTACTCCAGATGAAACCTTTTTTTTTTTTTTTTTGCTGTCTGCTTCTCTATTGGTACTATGCATTGCATTTGTACAACCGCTTTTGATCATTGAGACACACTGCATTAAAGTGTATTTTCACTTATGCAGCAAAACGGGATAACACCTACTTTAGATTTATTTGAAGGTTCCATTCACACAGCATCATCACTTGTATGACACTAAAACACGTTTTAGGGCCATTAATCACTGATAACAGTAAACTGAGGAGCTGTAAAAGCTTTTAACCACTTCCCGGCCGGCCGTTGTAAAAAAAACAGCCGGCCAGGAGCTCTCTAGATCTGAGCGGGTGTCTTTAGCCATGCCACCTTGCGCGAGCGGAAAATGCAGACATTTGAAAACAGGCACCGATGCCCGTTAATATACAAGCGATCCGCCGGCTATAGAGCCGGCGGATTGCTTGTATGAGGTCCCGGGATGTGCGCCCCCCCCCCCCTCCGCAATCAGAGGGAGGTCGGTACACGACCTCCCTCCGGTCCCCTCTCCGCTGTCAGAATGCGGAACTGATGTATAATACATCACTTCCGCATTCCCGTGTCACTCTCCAGCTTCAGATCCTGGAGAGAAACTGATGAAGCAGATCTCTGCTTCATCAGCTTCTTCAGGGGGGTCCTAGGTGACATTAGGGTCTTGGAGACCCCTAATGTCTCCATAAAGAGGACCTGTCACATATTTTGCTATCACATAAGGGGGTTTTCTTAAGTTAAGTGAACAAAAAAAAAGAAAAAAAAATTAAGTTTCCCCCCCAAAAACGTAAAGTTACAAATAAAAAAGAATACATTTTTTTTTAAAGTCCCTCCCATACATACACGCATGCAAACAGGTGTAAGGTGCGCATACGTGCGGTAAAAAAGACGATTTCGCCCATTACGCCGCACGTTACATATCGTCGCGAACGTCGGAATGAGAGCAATAGTTCTAGGGCCATCAATCACTGATAACACTAAACTGACGAGCTGTAAAAGTTTTTAAAGCGTCGCCTATGGTCAATTTTGGGTATGGTAGTTTTTTGCGATTTCGCGGGTGCGCGCAATTTTAAAGCATGACATGTTTGGTGTCTATTTACCCGACGTGACCCCGTCTTATATATTTTACCAAAAATATGGGTAATAATCATTGTTTCCTAATATAATGGGAGAAAAAACTTTTTTTCCCCAAAATTTTCAATAATTTATCCTTAATATAGTAAAAAATAAAAACCCGTAGTGGTGAATAAATACCACCAAAAGAAAGCTCTATCTGTCCCCCAAAAATGGTATAAAATTCATTTCAGTACAGCGGTGCATGACGGAATAAATGTCAGTCAAAGCACTGCAGCGCTGAATACTGAAAAATGGCCTGGCCAGGAAGAGGAGTCTAAACACCTGGTCTTCAAGTGGTTAAAGCATCGCCTATGGCCAATTTAAGGCATTGGATTTTTTTGCGATTTGGAGGGCGAACGCAATTTTAAAGCATGGCATGTTTGGTGCTATTTACTCGACATGACCCTGTATTTTATATTTTACCAATAAATATTTTACTGATAATTGTTTTATAACATATCGTACAAAAAATAAAAAATAAATAAATAAAAAAAACTTTCAGAACTTTTTTTATGACATAGTAAAAAATAAAACCCCAGTGGTGATTAAATAGCACCAAAATAAAGCTCTATCTGTCCCCAAAAAATGGTATACAATTAATTTAGTACAGCGTTGCATGACGGAATAAATGTCAGTCAAAGTACCGCAACGTTGAACACTGAAAAATGGCCTGGACAGGAAGGGGGTGTAACACTCCGGTCAGCAAGGGGTTAAAAACACAGCTAAACCACTCTCCATGGACAATCATGCATATTGAAAATGCAATGATTAGATGACCAGCCTTTCTCAACCAGGCTGCCGTGGCACAATGGTGCGTCTCCTGGCCTCCTCAGGGGTGCATCAACATTTTGTGGTGGTGGAAGTGTGAAATGAAGGAGGTGGAATGAATCTTTATGTGAAGGGGGTTCCTGATGTAAAGGTGAACTCTAATGTGAAAGGGGGGGGGGACTCTTATATAGAAAAGGGGCCTCTGATGTGAAAGGGGGCTCCTGGTGTAAAGGTAGGGAATCCTGATTTGAATGGGGCAGTTCAATGTTAAGTGTGTTTTTCAGTGGGGTCCCCCACAGGGGGACTGGGGTGCCTTGAGATTTTGTGTACTTTTAAAGGGTGCCGTGACTAAAAAAAGGTTGAGAAATGCTGGATTAGACAATTCACCCAGGTGAATTTTATTTACAATAGATTGTGGAGGGAAGGTACATTGATCCATTTTTTAAATAGAATGAATGTTACAATGAAGACCTTCTCCTACAGAAGAGCGGTTGTTGCAGAATTTTGGGGGATATTATTGTCACAGAAAGAATGTTAGGCAAATTTCTACTAATTTTGCTACATGAAAAGGGAGAACATGGCCTAAGGAATTTTGGACAAATGTCGGAAAAATTGACAATCCCTTTGTTTAATATAAATATACCCCTGACAGCGGACCTTTACCCATATCTTTCAAATAACAACAAACACACCTTTAGAAATGTTTAGTAATGCCAATCTACAAACACAATCTTCTAGATAATTGTCGGCTTTGTATTCTTTGCATTCCTTATTTCTCTTTTCTTCCCCAGTCTTCTGACAGTGGCCATGTTTACTAAGGGCAGATTACTAGCTCTCCTATTACTTCCTGAATCTCTGGCACATGTGACTAGACATGTGACTAGACATGTGACTAGGATATGTGACCATGCACATCATCTCAGAGAGGAAAATGCCTTTCCCTGAGATCTCATGTGATTACAGATGAGATTTCCCAGCAATGCTCAGCTGACCTATGACCTCCTGAGGACGTCTTGTATGACGAAACGCATATTTATATATACTATGCACTTTAATTTTTAGCGCTGCACAATTTACACGCTTTATCTATTTAGACCCCAGGGTTGAAAGCGCAGCTGCTTTGGTATCAGGATATTAAATCAGGGCTATCCATAAAGCGCGGATCCACATCTTTTACTAATGCTCAGCTGATGACAAGGCAATCCCAGCGTACATTGTGTTGGCAAACTGAAGTCATTTGCCCTTTCAGAGCAGGAAGTGAATGCTCTGCAAATCTAAGTATTTCAAATTCACAGCATTTTACACCTGACATGTCTATGTTATCATTATTCGTCATACATAGAGGGATGCATTGGTAGAATTTGATTTTTTAGTGTAAAGGTCCGCTTTAATGTTATTTAGTTAGAGTTTTACATTAAAATACTTCACATAGAAATATCTAAGAAGCAGTTGATTGTATTTTAAATATAGAAAAGTAGTTTTAATATTACAACATGTAGAACAAAACCAGTCCTATGCAAATTTCTATTCACCTTTCAAACACGTTTATCTTTGACTCCTTTAACAGTTCTGACTTGATTTTATTTTAATATTTCTACAAAGCCGTGAGAAAGCTGGAATCGGCGCATAAAGGAGAGAACCTCGGTACATTAACTGCAGCAAAGCAAGTGAGTAATCTAAAGTGCCCAAAGCAAAAGAATATCACAGAGAACATCTAGACGCATAATCAAATCACATAAACAGCCTTGATTGTAACACTGTGTAAAAGAATACGATGCTAGTGAGTCCAAGGATAAATAGTAGCTTCTATCGAAATTGCACTTGTTGAGTTGTTTATTATGCTAATCATACACAGTTACTGCAGTTCAGTTTTGTTATGTTTTGCTTGCATTACCTTTTATATATAAATGCCATTTACTGCTTTAAAGGGCTATATTTCTGTTATACTGTACATGGAGTCTGTGTGTGTGTGTGTGTGTGTGTGTGTGTGTGTGGGGGGAAGGCTCCTTCTGTCGTCAGTCACACTGCTGGATGGAAAAGGGGGGTGTGGCCTGCCACAGGGCTGTGTGTGTCTATGGACGCAGCCACTGCGGGCACAGCCGAGAACAAGCACACATGAGTGCCTCCACAGCAGCAGCTAAGCTGATGGAGGCACGAGTGCAGGGGGCGGGGGTGGGAGCGCTGCGGGGACCAACTAGAAACTTAAGGATTAAAAAAACAAACAAAGTTGTATCTAAATGCGGCCTCCCAGTGCTAAAAATAATTTTTACAAAACCTTAAGGTTTAATATCACTTTCAGTCCTGTAAGTTCCGAGGTGAGGCCTCCATAGATCCGATCTGGAGAACTTGAAGGCCAAGTCAACACCTCAAACTGGTTGTGTCCCTTAAACCATTCTTGAACCATTTTTTCACTGTGGCAGGGCGCTTTATCTTGCTAAAAGAGGCCATCAGGGAATACCATTTTCATGAAGGGGTGTACTTGGTCAGCAACAATGTATAGGTTGGTGGATCCCAGCACAACATTGCCCAAAAGCATTACACTGCCTCTGCGGGCTTGCCTTTTCCATGATCATATTTAAAGTGTATCTATTGCCTAAAACTTTTTTTTTTCATTCTGGATAGATTAGTGTCCTTGTTGGGAAAATTCTCTCTCCCCCTTTCTCCTGGTGACCAGTGTCACTAGGACAGAAAGTGATGGAAAATCTAATATATTAAGTTGTCATCAGAAATGATTGAAGCTGGAAGGAGCCAGGCAAGTAGCATTTTTAGTAGGTGGTCAACGATGGCAGGCTTTTTTTATCTCTCAAGTACAAGTTACAAGTTTCCTTATATTTAGAACTCCAAATATACATTTTACAGAATTTAGGATCCCTATGAGAATGTTGAGAACCTCAAACATGACTCCATGTGCTTAGGTCTCCCCGATGGAAATGTCCTTACCTGCTCCACATGATGCACTGCAGTCTGACCACATGCCATACTTCCAAGTATATACAGTCTCCACCTCATTTTCAGAGCTGTCTTTTGGTATGATGTATTCATATCTAACTCCTGGATTGTTCTCCTGGAATAGAAGCTGAAGAAATACATTTAAAATAACATATAGAAAAACTGAACTCACAAAATAAATTCTCATGCCAAATCGCACTGTGGCTCACCCTAGCCAGAATCTGGGCCATAGACAAACAGCATATTGTGTTCTTTATAGAGATACCTAAAACTGCATTAGGAAAGTCATAGGTGGAGTGATGATTTGAGAAACATAGATGGTTTGATTATTGCATCGACAAGATTAGTTCAAGGTGGAAAACAAGGAACATTTCTGGCCATTGGACATGCTGGAACATCTCTTCTTTTATGGAAAAGGGACCTTTAACCACTTCAAGACCAGGTGTTTAGACCCCCTTCTGGCCAGGCCATTTTTCCAGTATTCAGCGCTGCGATACTTTGACTGACATTTATTCCGTCATGCAACGCTGTACTGAAATGAATTTTGTACAATTTTTTGGCTGCATTTCTGCCAGCTCAGTTGGCTGGATACGGCAGAAGAAACAATAGAAAGTAATTGGCAGCCACAGACCAAACGCTCAGTGCACACAGGGGTTGGAGAGCACTTGGCAGGGGGGTGGCTGGACCGCTTGCCAAGCATCCGCTTTCATTTACACTGTAGATATGGTAGTGCTCCTTTGTGTAATAATATTGTATTTCAACGGCCAAGGGAGCAGAGACTCATGCTCATGACTGCATTATGATTCTGTAATCATGCGCTATTTTATACCATCACTCCATATATTTGCAAACACAATTCATAGCAATGTCATGAAGAAGATGTTAATTAATTATTGTTCTGCTCTAGCATTCATAACAGGTACATCTTATGATAATGAAAATCTTGTGTTTAGCCCACGTTACATTAGACATGCTGTGTGAGTAGACCTTGTTCGGCTACCATGGCATGTGTTCATTCTTTGCACACCATTTCGTAAACAGTTTACTAAATCCTTGAAATACACTCATAAAAGCCATTAAAAAAAAAAGCTAGAATATCTTACAAGAGGCTGTTCAAACAGTTCATTTCTAGCTGGTGGAATATCAATGAGCCCAGTTTATCCAAGTCCCCTCCATGTACATGGTAATAAACCGACTACTAGAAGGATATCTAGAATGGCGAGTATAAGTGCAATCATTGTACAGTAAAAATCTTTGTTTTTTTAATAGGTGTTTCCTCCATACCTGGATCCAGATTGACTCGTTTATGGGCCCTGCGGCGGTTAGGTTCTCCAGATCACCGCTCCGCTGGTAATGAAAAGTAGTCCCAGCCAATTTATAATCGCCCATCCACTGTATTATGAAGTCCCCGTTCAAAAGATATTTTTCCGGGTCTTCACTTCTTATTGCAAGGAAGTTTCCAGCGGCTTCCACTTCTTCTATCTTTATTGTTCTTGCTCCTTTTGGAATAATACCAATATCGACGTAGCCTGCATGAGTCAAAAGGAAATTCCCCATTAGAGCAGTTATAATTCAACAGGCTCAAACAAAGGTTAAAGCCCGATTCCACATATTACTAAAAAATATATTGCCTAGCAGTAGTTAAAATGAAGAACACAGCTTCTGATACAATACCAGTGCTTTGATCCAAAAGGCTCACCACTCCCCCCTGCTACTGGTCTTTTAGTATGCCCGTATGCCATTTAATCTTTTCTTTTATTTAAATTTTGATTTTAATGCAAACGCAGACAGACTTTCCCTTATATAGAGAGCAGAACAGTAGTACAACATGGGGGGATGAAAGCAAGACTGACCTGTGGGAACTCTCCTGTAAATACCTGTATTTGCATTCAATAGAGTAGAGAAGGTTTGATTTGAGGTAGACCAGAGTGGATTTGGGGAGGTTTTTGAGAACAAGTTTAGAGATTCCAAGACCCATCAACAGTAAGAGGTGTCTCAGGTCATTGGGGCGGTTATGGCTTTGAATGCAGATATATCTCTGTGGGCAAACCAACAGGACCATGTTTCCAAGGCTTGAGGATACTTATTCTCATCATATGCCACTAGAGTTTACAATTTGTGCCCATTCGGCTTGGTCATGTGACAGAGCTGTTTACCGATATTTAGAGGATGCCATTCGAGGAGCTGGAAGACAATGGCGTGGAAAACCTTCTTTTAATTTTGGATAGAGACCACGGTACCATTGACAAGCAGGATTGGGTAAATATCAGAGATGCACATATTCTGGGAAGAGGTAAAAACCTTTGTCTATAACATGGTAATGCTGGTGCAGTCCCATCACATATGGAGGTAGTTGACAACTGCACCAAAGCAATTCCAGCAAACAGGGCTGTCCCTAATGTATTTGCCACACTGCAATGTACTGTGGTTCCCGGAGAAGGGTGGGGGGTATTTTGTGCTGTCAGGTGGTGCATAGTTGTTCTGCTGATTTGATTTGGTTGTTCTGGTGGGAGCGCTATCTGTGGTTCTGTCCCGCATACCGCCCAGCTCACTGACATCACTGGTTGCCAGGAGCACAGTGGGATGCAAGCCAGAGAGTCCCGCCCACGTCTGAGAGTTGAGTGGCAACCAGGAACTCTGTGGCTGCACCCAACCAGATGCCGCCTGAGGCAACTGAATCATTACAGCGATGGCCCTGGCAGCAACTGTCAAATGACAATGGGTAAATGTGATTGAGTTCTAAAGGAGTTCAATACCACAGAGATAGATGCCCAGTATTATTCATTCCACTTCCAGTGAGCACAGGGTGTAATTAAACCACCCCCCTGGGATGTGCCATCTTGCTGCCCAGGGCTGCCAGTACCAGTACTGAAACGTCATTAAACTTTATCCTTCAATTATTCCTTCCCCATTTCCTGATGTCATTTACTTTGGTTTGGATATTTTTAGCACATGAAATAGACGACTTCCGGCACAAGGACAGCAATTAAATAAGGTGGTATTGTCCAGTACCAGGTGAGGATCTTTCCATTGGCACCAACCAAACAGCAGACTTTATTTTTGTTGGAAATTGGCTTGCAATTAGCTGAATGAAAAGTTCCTACTGTTTAGTCCCAGTGTTCATACCTTCAAACCTTTACAGAAAGATCACAAATGCTTCCTGTGTAATAAATGTAAAAAAGTAAAGAATAATTACCGAATCCATCACTTTGATCAAATGTTTTTGTGATTGTCTGGCAGCTCGAGCCGTCTCCCAGGCAGATCCCACATCGATCCTCAGTGGCATTTGAATTTATTTCATAGTCACAGCCAATGCTCTAAAGGAAAAATAATGTTACAGGCTGTCAGTTGCAATGATACTACAAAGCAATTATATTAGAGTCAAAGCGTCGGGTGGAATAAAAGACCGTTCAGCTTTGCATTTTAAATATGACCTTATCCCTCTTAAGAGCTCCTGGCACAAGTCATATCGCCTGACGAAAAACTGAATGAGAGCCAATTGGCAGTACATAGAGCCTCATAAATATGCCCAGGCAGAAGCTAGCGGTATTTTAAGGAATGATAACCTGTGTGTTTATCCTAATGTGTGCTAAATAATTACAATTTCAAACTTTAATCTACTGCCAAGTTACAATTAAAGCGACCCTGTCGCTAGACACAAA